CCCTACACAGAGCCCTGGTTTTGTGGCTTTGGGGATTGGAGGTAGCATTCAAAGATCAGATATGCTTTTCCTCACTTTGGAGACGAACACTCTGGGTTTTAGAGCATTAACCTGCCTAATCTTCATGGTGAAAATGACACCTTCTCTATCCTAGTCATGCTGTGCATGCTGCTTTCTCTGTTGGGGTCTATATAAATGTGTTGAACTCTTATCTACATTCCAAAGAAGTTTCGAGGAACCATAAATATATGTATACATATACATATATAAAATATATATATTAAAAGGAAATTATCTCTATCAGGAATACTGCCTCAGTTATTGAACTTTTTTTAGAATACTTTTTTTTTAAGCTCAGAAGTATAGGGGTGAAAAAGATGTTATATTGTGTTTGACTATTTTCCAACTTGTATTTTCATATAATTTATATTTTTTAAAAGCTGAAAATTTAAAAGCAAGATGAAAAAAGGAAAAGCAGGTGCTTTTTAAAAATCAGAACTGAGGTAGCTTAGAGATGTAGCGATGTAAGTTTCTATGTGTTTTTTTTTAAAATGCAAAACAATTTCTTATGGGGGAGTTTTTTGTTCGTTTATTTTAGTAGCTGATGCTGGCACATCATTTTGCTGGAGAATTTTTTATATACTGTAGCCTGATTTCATATTGTATTTTAAACTGTGTGAGATTAAAAGCAAAGAAATTCATTCATAATGATGTGGGTTTGGCTTCAGTCTTTCCTGTCTGGTTCATGCGTGAAAGCAGGACAGATTAACCAACCAGAAACAAGCACAGGAAGGAATGCAACTCTGTCTTGCTGATCTCAACTTGCTCTACACCATTTCAGATAAAGATTTCCTAATAAAGTGAGAACTATAATAGGAATAGGGGGAAGTGTAATGTGACATCCCAATTAGAAATAGATGGTATCATCCTTTGTGAAATGTCCCCGGCCCCATCATACCGCATTTTGATCGCGTCTGGAGAGCTAAGAGGCACATGAAGAAAATTTTTAATGACTCAACAGATAAACGTTTGATTTCAACTAGGTAAAGTTTCTGATATTAACACAGGGAGTTGAACATCTTTGGTCCACGCTCAGGAGCAGCATCCTTCTACCCCCCTTCTGACATTCATTTTGTCCTGTGCCAATGCGGACCCATCCCATCCATCTCCTTGGCCCCAGCTCTTTCACTGGAGCTGAAAACTGGGAATGATAATATCCGTCCGAGCCCCCAGCAGCCAGTGTCATCAATCCGATCGTATTTATGGGTGCTTTGGGGAGGAGGGTTTAGGAACACATCCTGCGTGGTGCTTTTCTCTTGTGGTTGGAACTGTGGAAGGTGTATGTCTTTAAATTAACACCAGCATTTGCAACACAAATCCCAACTCACAGCTGGAAAGAGAATTTTTGCTGAATTGTTCACAAAGAGAGCTCTGTTTTTGGAAAATCGGTTTCTTCAGGCCTGGAGCTTGAGGTTTGCTGAGTGCACGTTAAACACCGACTGTGTGGTCCAGTGGTCAGGGAGCTGGCCTGGACGCGAGGAGGGCTCCGGTCTACAACCCAGTCAAGCCACCGCCACTCACTGGGGCACTGTGGGGAGACGGCAGGAGGTCCTTAGATTTTTCAGTCTTCAGCTGCCAAGCTGGGCAAAGCCACAACTCCGGAGCCAACCCGAGGCCACATCTAAGCTCTTCTCCCCCTGAATCCACAGAACCCAGAGAATAGGTTTCTGCCTCGGTCTAGGATTTGGTCAGAGAACTTTCCTTCAGTGGCAAGTTGCTGTTTATTCCCCCAAAGTATGTGATTTCATGCTGACCAGGTTAAAAGATACAAGATACACTGGAACGAAAACGGCTTAGGTCTCTGTTTCTCAAACTAGGAGCTAGAGTTTAGCTGGGGAACTCTCAGACACCTGGGCTTTGGTGCTCTCTTAATGACACTGCTGGGACCACCATATTGAGGTTGGGGTGGTGGAGAGACAGTATTTTCTAAAACTCCCTCCAGATTTGGGGGAACGGGATGAGGTGAGAAGGAGATGCAGAGAAAAGAGGAATCATTCAAAAGAAGCTGGCGGTCAAAATTCTACAGATTTTGACAGGCTTTGGGGCGGTTGTAGGATAAAGTAATGGCCCAAGCCTAGTCTG